GAAATAATCTTGGAAATTGACTTTAAAGATCAAGATATAAAAGATTTTACTACTTATTATCGTAAACATATTGTTGGTAATGTTGCTGAACAAGCTATTATTGATAAACTTGAACGAGAATATCATCGTTATGAACCTATCTGGTGGTGTACAAATGAATATTTTCTTTATTCAATGCTCAATCGAGCATTGCGTACTATGCAAATAGAAACAATTATAAAAATAAGTTTCTTTATACGTGATCTTCATAAATATATTGATCAAGTTCATTCTGAAGAAATTCATAATTCATCGTCATTAATTGTATATCATGGTCAAGGCATATCACAGAAAGACTTTGATCAATTGAAGAAAATGCAAGATGGATTATTATCATTTCATAATTTTTTATTCACTAGTAAAAATCGTGATTCGCCTTTGAATTTTGCACGTCAAACGATTATAAATTCTGATTTGATAGGTATATTATTTGTTATGACAATTGATCGTTCTTTAACTTCAACACCTTTCGTTAATATTCGTGATGATTTAACTAAAGGAGAAGTTCTTCTCTCTATACATTCCATTTTCCACATTGGTCAGATCCAACAAATCGGTACAAATAATAATCGTCTTTGGCAAGTGGAATTAACTTTAGTGAATAAAAATGATTTAAACCTTGATGTATTAAATAAACGTATCTTAGACGAAACAATATCTTCTAGAAAAGGATGGTGTCGATTGAGTGAATTATTAATTAAACAAAATCAATTTAATAAAGCTCGACAAGTATGTGATATAGCAATGACTCAAACGGATGATGAAAATAAAAAAGCATTTTTCTATTATCAGCTTGGTCTAGTTAAATTTCATCAAGAAGAATATAAAGAAGCTAGCTTATTTTATAATTCTTCACTTAGAATTCATGAAAAAAATCTTAATTCTAGCAGTATTGATGCAGCTGCATGTTACATGGGAATTGGTTCAATTCATGAGAAAATGGAAATATATTGGAAAGCACTTTCATTTTTTGAAATAGCATTTGGAATCTACGAGAAAATTCTGCCGACAAATAATCCACTTGTGATTAATTGTATCAATAATATTGGTAGAATATGTTATTTAATGAAGCGATATTCGAAATCAATTTTTTATTATAAAAAAGTACTTAAAATTTATCAAAATAGTTCAACTTCAAATCAATCTGATGTGGCTATTGCTTATAAAAATATAGGTTTGGTGTATGTTAAACGAAATGAGCATTCAAATGCAATTACATTTTTTGAGAAAACACTTGCAATTTATAAGAAGATTCTTCCTTCAAATCATCTTGATATAGCCGAAATATATCAAACTATTGGTTCTGTATATGACAATTTGTGTGAATATACAACTGCGCTTGCATATTACGAAAAAGCATTGAAAATTTATGAAGAAACTCTTTCTTCAACTCATCCTAACTTAGCATTATCTCATAAAAGCATAGGCTTGATATATTTTCAAAGAAGTGATTATTTAAATGCACTTTCATATTACGAAAAAGCACATGATATATATGAACAAATACTTCCGTCAAATCATCCTGATTTAGCAGCTTCTTACATGCGTCATGGATCTGTCTATGAAAATACAAATAGTTTTACAAAAGCACTTTCATATTATAAAAAAGCATTTGAAATTTATCAAAATAATTATCCTATAAATTATCATGATTTAGCCAATGTTTACAATAAAATTAGTTCAGTATATTTTCAAATGGGTAAATATTCACTAGCACTTTCATTTTATGAATGTGCTCTTGATATTGAACAAGAATTATCCAATGGAAATCAGTCTTCTATTGAACAATGGGATGACAATCTCGATATAATACAAGATGATTGTGAATGATATTTCAACAAAATATCTCCTGCACTTCTTAGACTAGACTATTATTCTAATACAATCACTAAAAAACTATCAGATAATAATTGTTATTTCTAAATAAAAATTAAAATACTTTGTTTCGATTCAGATTATAACTAGATGATATTTGAGTTTCAATCGACTACAAAATGCGATGCAAAGCTCGATGTTGAAATAATGATTTCAAGGTTATCAGATATTTCTAAATATTCCCGATTGCTTTAGGATCGAGTTAAATTGATATAGAAGTAAGTGGGTGTGGGTGGTAGGTGATTACAGTATTCATACCCACACCCTCACACACTTACTTTTGACGAAGATGCTCTAGTATATGATGTTTTTATTCAAAATCTATCGAATAGTTCTATTCATTTATCACAAATAACTAAAATGACATTTAATAAACGAACTATGTCATGTGATATTATAATTAAAATGTTACAATTAACACCGAATTGTTACAAATTAAAACTTGAGAGTTTATCTTCCATAGAATCTAATGAAGATTTTCAATATTTATCAAACAAAAACAAGATTCAAGATGTAACAATAAAATGATGTACATTTGAAGATATTCAATTCTTAATAAAACTTTGTTGTCGATTAGAATATCTTCATATAAATGTATCTGACAAGGATTCTCAACCAATTATTAGTTATTTATTAGATAGTAAGGAAAAGAATCGTTATTTACATTTATTAAATATTCAAAGTTCAAATGATCTATGAGATATGAAAATTATTAATTCCACAACAGCTGTTCGACAATCAAATGAAGTTTCTTATGATATGATCGACATGATATTCATAAAAAATCTTTAAATCATAAAGTTTGAAAAAAGATTTCTTTTATAGATTGAAACCACGAAGAAAATTCAATAATATGATACAATTGTTGCCATATTTTGCCCACCGTGCAATGCAGTGCTTTTTATTATTTTTCTCGAAAATCTTCTACAAAATCAGAAAGTTCGTTCAATAAATCTTTCGTTGTAGTTTCATTTTTATTAAAGTGACTCTATAATTTGTAGCTGTGCTTCGATGTTCATTATTTTATTTTTTGAATTAATTGAATATGAGAGTGTGAGATTCATGTGTGAATATACTACCGAAGCAGACAAAATTTTGGAAAAACGCATGTAAACTGCCAGAAGAGTCATTTTTAAAGGGTTTTCAGGCGTGTTCAAAAATATGGGATATAGACACTATTAATCTTGACTCTCTTATTGTAAAAACGGTTAAACCTTTTATCACAGTCATATTTAGAGAAATAAACACTCAAATATCTAATTTTTATATCCTGTTAGCGCTCATCTTTTGAAGAGTATGATATTCAAACTAGATAGCGTGAACACATTCATTGTGTTTTATCATATATTAAATAACTCCGCATTCACTTTTAGAATATCAATTCGTAGAAACTTTTGAAGATGAGTGACAGTACATGTCGCAGATATGTCGATGTGAGAAATATAATGATAATTGCGAACCATCATTCTAAATCTTTACTTCATCCTCACTCTTAATATGAATTGCATATCTCCCGTCTTTATCACTTGTGGGAAAATAATTAAATCATAATTTATTTGAAATAATCAGTACTTAATTAACTATAGACAGTGTAAGAACAAAATACATTTTTTACCACCATAAGCACAATTCAGACTGTCGACGTTTGATATCATAATTATCAAGTAGTTTTTCATTATTGATCATTGCTTTCAATTTTTTGATCTTCGCACGACTATCATGAAACATCAGTAAAAAAAGATGACTGTTATTAATTCTGTTCGATAACAAAGTTCGTACAAATGGTATGAGAGCATTCTTTCTGTACATAAGTCGAAGATGTTCTAGTCGAGGAAAAAGCTTATTGATTAGTTTAACAGTGGCAAGTGGAAGTTCACCAGTTATTTTTACATTTCGCACATTATTATTGCATACCAAGTCAACTGTATTAGCTTGTTGATCTGACGATACTTCCATTTCAGATGATAATTGTACATAAAGAATCAATTTTTGAACATTAGGCATACGATTAAGAAGTTTAATAAAGTTGTTCAACAATATATTATTGAATGAAATCTCCAAATAAGTAATATTTGTCAAAATAAAAATATGACTTAGATTATCAATGAATGAGTCAATATTTATTGTATTATAATTATCGGTAAGTTCTAATTCAGTTACACGAGGAAATTGAAAAGAAAAATTGGCAACAATATTTCGATTTTTCATATTAATCCGTGGCCCAAAAAATAAATTGAAGACTGGATCTTGGTACGAACATATGTTATTATCTAAAAATTCATCAATTTGACAACAGTATCGCCTAAAAGAAAAGAATCATTATTTCACAACAATAAATATATTTTCTTTCATTGCTTATACCGGCGAATTTGAGTTGAATAGAATGCTAAACATACTTCTGCTGGATAAAAATGATGACCATGGCAATGGGTATGAGCGAAAAACCATTGCCGTTCGATCCAAAATGGCGAAGAAAATTCATCAAGTAATGTTCGACAGCGACTATTTCCATCAGCATCTTTAATTAATGGACCATGGTAATCAAAGAGAAACGTACGCAAACGTGGCATGTGACGTAAAATTAATTGTTGCCATTGATAAGCATTTGATAGGGCAGTTTTATGAGTAATTGTAATGCGTAAGAATTCGAGTTCAGAACCAACGATTGCAATGAATGATGCGAATTTATCAAATGAATAAGACCAATAACGTAGAGAAACACTAGTTAAATTGTGTAGCAGTATAAATTGTTCTGGTAGTATGTATCTATCAGGCCACATATGCTCAACTGACAAACGACGAAGATGAGGTGTATATGTTAGAAGATTGTAAATACTTGAAAGATCAGCTGGAAAACCAAAGGATAGATATTCAAGAGTCATGCTTCGTTGACTATCGCTCGTAGCCAGGGGAAACGGAAATCTACCACCAAAGCTCGAACACAAAATTTTGGCATATTGTAAAACAGGTAGAAGAAATATTGATTGAAAAATAAGAAATAGTTCATTACATTCGTAACAAAAGATTTTGAGAGAGTAGAGTCGAGGTAATTGAGCTAAACTATTAAGAATAGAAACATCATCATCTACATTAAGATCATTAAGTACCAATGATTCGAGACGATTGAATGATGTGTCAATAGGAAATGTTCTAAAGAAATTTTTGATGACAAATGGTTCTGATAATTGTAATGAAATAATTTGATTCATATATGGACGGATAATATTGATCGAACGTTTGTTAAAATCTGATTTAGACATAAATGAAATATTTAATTTGAGGAAGAAATCAGGACTAGTAATGAGTTGTTGGATACGGTTATTAAGATTAGAAAAAGCGTCAAATATATGATAACCATTAAGAAAATCGAAAGTATCGAGTAAAAGTTCATTTGAAAGATCTTCAAAATGCGTTGCTGATCTATGATTATAAGAAAGAAAATTAAATATTACAAAATGCTCATATTATTAGAAGAGAATGTAATTTATTTTTTTAAACTTACCTTTTCATCTTCACTTTTAGCTATTCAACAAAATGATTATTTTCAATTATGATGATAAATTTATAATATTATGCTGAAAGAAAAGCATTTTTCTATACGACTGAATCAGGCAACACTATGGACGAGAAAATTCATCTGTACGCTGCTGCAAGATGTTAGTTCAAAGTTCAATGATATGGAAATAGAAATGTTTTCGATCGTTCAGTAAATATGTAAATAAGCGGAGCTTGTGAGAGGATAAGAAATTAGTGAATACATGTATACCTACAATTCATATATGCTTTTTTATTTTAAAATTAACATTTTGTTTTAAGCGAACATTTAATATAATCAAAAAGTAGAGTAGGACCACGACTCGATTTAGTATAACAATAGAAAAAATATTTCCAATCAACTCTATATTTATTTAAAGTTCGAAAAATTTCTTCATACCAATCACCACGCGACGGTAAATCATTCCAAGGCAGTTCACCCTTCCATGTTTTCCTTAAAACCAAAGAACTACCACGTATTCTCCATACATATTTCTGATTTGAATATTTCTAGTGATACATCGTCGATGAAGATTCCTATGGTATGATAATTTGGAATATTTTAAAAATGGCATCCAAGAAATCAGTTTTGAGATTAGACGACAATTTAATTGATTTTTTTCGATGACATGAACAGAAAGATGAGAGAGACAATGCAAAAGAAACGAATCTTTCAAGTAATGATACGAAAGTTCCAGTTGCGTAAACCGTGAATCGATGGAAAATAATGGAATCTGATAGACGAAGAGAAATGATTCGATATTGTAGAACATCTTACCTCATAAATGAAAAATGCAACATACTTCACATTTATCTAGATATTTTCATATCTCATAAAAAATTTCATTTGGAAGATCTGCAAAGCAAGTATCGAACAATCTAATTAAGATATCAAAATAATAATTATAGATAATAGGCTATTTATATTACCTTTCTGTTGTTTTTTGATCTTTAAAAGAAGTTTTTTTTAGAAGAAAAACACTACGTTTTATATAGTTTCTTACTTTTCCTTTTAGGATCACTGCAATAGGTAATATGTTGCTGCTTTCGATCCATTTTCGATAACGAAAAAATATTCACATATAAATATGAAAGAAACAGAGCATTTAGATAAATCAAAAAAAGATACCAATATTGACATATCTTTAAAATGAATAAAATCTATGAAAAAAGGTTGTTTTATGTGTCATCTGTTTCCATGCTAAGCGTACGCCTGAAGTAAATAAATTGATTATTCTCACGTACTTGCTACTGAGCTAATAATCAAGTGTAAACTTTCGTAAATCTTTACATCGTCTTAATTATATTACAATCTTTTGTGATAGACAAATCTTCTCTACAAAACAAACTTTTCGGCATTCATATATTTATTTTTACTTGTCAGTTTTACAGATGATTGTTGGTCTTCAAAAAAGCATCTTATATACATGAGAAAAATCTATTCAAGGCATTTCAATATCATCCAATTCTGACAATAAAAAGCTAAAACTATTCAGCAAGTCTTCTTGATTTTGAATATTGAATTATAATACTTCTATTTATTTTGTTCTATCTGTCGAGCAATTTTATAAAATTATTTTTATATGTCTAAAATATTCATCCCATAGTTCTAGGATATTCTGAGGAACTGAGTAATACAGAAATCAGGTTGATAGTGCACCTCTGAAATTTTATCTTGAGTCAAAGTTCATTTTTTAACAATGAATGTTTTTGTTATCTTTTACAAGTAGCTTCTCAACATGATTATTTGAGATTTAATCAACTCTTGTAAGAAGAAGACATGGTACAACACATTTCGCAGGTTTATATTATTCTTATACTTTCAAGTCTGTACTCATTCCAATTTATTCATTATCGTCAATCAGTCTTGTCTTTATCATAATTTAGTTAGGATATCCGAAGTAGTGATATAAAAACTTTATTATCATATACTAAGTCTAAAGAGTATTCTTTTTTATATGTATGAAAGTATAGTGATCTAATTTTTTTCCTCGACTCACGCATCTAACTCTGTTTCATGAGAAGATATTCTGTACCATCTTATAAAATATGTATATTATATGTTACAATCAAAAAACAAAGAAAGTTATTCAATCTTTGCTGATTATAACCGAGAACACAATATTCATCTATATTATGTACCATTTTATATCGATAAAATAATCTTAGCAAAAACGTTGTGTACGGTTGTTATAGCAATTTTATTATTCTGTAATTGATATCATTCTTTTTCGTGTTTTTTCTTCCAACATGTAATTGCAAAATCATGTGAAACCAATGACAAAACAAACATCTACTCGTTCGATTGGAAGAAAAAAGAACAATACAACATATGAACAACATATAAGTCTATATAGCACGCATTTCATCAACGGTGTGCAATGACAAATCAAACATTCACCAGCTTCCTCACGTTACCGGTAGAACTTGTCTACCGAATTATGGATCATCAGTCGGGTCTCACTATCCTATGCTCCATGAGAAACGTGTGTCAACGATTCAACAGAATCGTAGACAGTTATCATAGATATCAGGTAAACGTTTTTCTACCATAGATCTCTAAGTTTTATCTATTAACTCCAATAAAACATACATAAATAAACTCTTTGACTAAAAGTAACTCATCAACTATCCTTCTTTCCCTCACAAATTCATTTCTTCTATTATGAAATTATAGAAATAGTGTTTCGATAATCAGAAAAAAATAATTTCTTTCTTTTCTTTTCTTTTTAATTTCATTTAAACATTCCACGTTTCAGCCTACGTATGATGTCGTAAACATACAATGTTTAGAGAAGAACTACAAAAAAAGGAACAAAACATTATTATTTTCTTTCGACGTATATTTAACCACCTTCTTTACAATACCATTTCCATAATTAAGATTAGCTTTCGAAAGAAATCAACCTTCAATCAACTAGTTTATCTTGCCATAAATAACATCCTCGATATTTTCATAAGAATTACCTCTGATAAATATTTATTACTAGCACACATGACTGTGGGTACAGATGAGGGCGGATATGAATGCAGAGAAGATTGACTCACAATAACATCCACATTCTCATACCCATACTATCAAAGTGGAATGTTTCTTGAAGAAATACTACTTTTAAAGCAAACTTTGCACACATATATCTGCTCCAAAATGGATTTCATTCAAAACACACTTTCTTACGTACGAAATTTTGAGAATGACTTGTCAGTGATATTTTTTATACAATATTTTAGTTTAAATTTATCTTCTACTTATAACGAGTCTAGCATTCTGGAATACATTCTTTGACTTTTCACTTTTGATAAATTCATATTGCGTCATGAACGGAACCGTACGATGACACCGAAAGCAATTATTGAAATCAATATCTATCTTCCATTACATAAGACATACCCATCAATAATGCCAAGTTCGATAACTTCCACGAAATTTTGATACAAAACACATATCGAGTCCGAACAACAAACATGAAAGAAACCGTTCACCAACTACTGATAAGCAACGATCTTACTTCATACATACAGACTACTAATAAGCGCTGCATAATACTTTACTATGCTCTAGACTATTTACCGCAATAAACGGTTAATTGGACACATAATACGGCAATTCACAATTGTTTTGGGCAGAAGTAACCTGCAAACTATTTTTCATTACCCGAAAACTCTTCCTTATTTCAAAAACACGTAGAAATTAAAGCAATTCACAGATCAAATATTTGTATCACTACTTCACCCTTTTTACTTCTTTTCAGTCTAGATTCCGACAAAATACTATCACACACAATGCAGCATTTAAGTCCTATAAAAATTCATATTAGTATACATAGGTACTAGAGCTGGACCAGAACAAAACTCATGTCACTTCTCTAACTCCATATAACACTAAAGAACTATTCTATCTCTTAATCTCCATCCTCTCTATACCTCTACTTTTTCATTTAGACACTTACCATACTAAACCTTACTCCAAATCAAATCGGAGATACTGGAGCACAATCTTTGGCTGATGCATTACAACACAACAAAGTAATTCTTATTCTCTCTTTAT